TGGGTGTGGGTGTGGGTGTGGGTGTGGGTGTGGGTGTGGATGTGGGTGTGGGTGTGAGTGTGGGTGTGGGTGTTTGGGTGTGGGTGTAGTTGTTATTGTAGATCTTCTCTTCATCATTCACACCCACACCCACACACACTTACACCCACACCCACACTCACACCCACACCCACACCCACACTCACACCCACACCCACACCCACACTCACACCCACACCCACACCCACACTCACACCCACACTCACGCCAACGCCCACGCCCACGCCCACCCCCACCCACACCCAGCCACACCCACACCCGCCCACACTCACACCCATACCCACACCCACCCACATCCACAGCCTCTGCCAAAGGTTGCCACGCTCATTAATGACCAGCACTCTTTCGAAGATTTGTTGATGTTAATCTGAGAGCAGACATTCAAAAAGATGAGATTTTATATGTTTGGTTCACAAGTTTTGCTGCCATAGTATTTTTACCACAAGAAGATATGAATGGAGCAATAGAAAATTTATGTCTAACAAAACCGCCTTTATATGAAGAGAAAATTGACTTATTTTTGCAATATCACCATAAAACCTATGACATTAACAGTAGTTTTCCATCAGTTATGTACAACCACTATTGAAATATGAATCCTCGCACTATAAATCATATTGAAGAACGTCATAATAGATGGAAATTGACATCCACAAAACCACAGAATGATATTTATACATGTATTGATATGTTCAAACAGGAACAACTACTAGCAGCAGATGAACATCACAGACATGAAACAGGGGCAGCAATACCGAAACATCGAAGAGCTACTCGCATAGCCGACGAATCATTATATCGTTTATGGGATAAATTAGAAAAAAAACAGATTGATACAGAAACATTTTTAAAAGGCGCTGGTCTTCGTTATTTTCAATATTTGAAAATTGAATAAAATATCAAATTAATTATTCATTAACAAATTTTGTTTCAATTGGTTTATTTTCAGGGCACGTTGTTCTTTTTTCTCATTAAATATTCTATAAAGAATGAATTAATGTCGCATATAAGGTCAAAGTCTTCTAACATACATTAACGGGTTTATATGCTTACAAAAATCGAAAACTCTTGAATATCGATGAATTATACAACATTATGTCCCTAATGAAGAATCTCATTACTGTATGTCATATGTAAATCAATTAGTTCAATCAACAATTGATCATAAGCTTTTTTTTCAACTTTGCATGTAACTTGAATCTCGAAGTATTATAAAATATTATGTTCCTAATGAAGAATATCATTATTTTATGTTGCATGTAAATCAATTAGTTCAATCAATAATTGATCATGAAATTTTTTTAAGCTTTGTATGCAAACCAAGTGCGCATTATAAATATTGTTTACGGATGTAAATCCAGCATTGGCACACGACACCTCCTGACAAGTGAATAATGAGGAAATGATCATTAAAATGCATATTGATTCGTTCGTGAACCATTTTGACTATTTTATGATCACCAAGTCTATTTTTTTCGAAATTTTGATTTGATTTGAATATGTGTATAGTTTCTAAAAATTACACGATTTACTAGTCTTTGCTTACAAGGGTTCATATTCTACATAATTGTCAAGAATACAGTTGAACATTCACACAATAAGAGTCAATCGGATTTTGCGATCATGATGAAGAGAAACTTAGAAATAATCAAAAACAATTAGTTTTTGCATGACTTCAATAATGAATCGACAACTCTCAAATCGAGGAGAATCGTACACTTCACGACACGCACCATATTTAAAAGTTTTTCCTTGAAAATCGAATGTCTGTAATTGAAGAAAGCGTAATCTTTTTTTACATGCAGTATATTTCATTTTTGTCCACCAAATACGAAAACGTGAGACAAAGCATTAAAAATGCTTCGTCTATTACCAACTTTTACATACGTATGTAAACTTATCAAGTATTTGATTGGACATGTGTTTATGACTTTTACATCATTCTAATTTTTCCTTTAACATATATATTGTATCGAAAGAGAGACCCAGTAATATACTTGAACAGCACTTGTACATGTATATGTTAACTACTGTATGAGCATCTATGTAAAGCGATCAAGTGACATATGTCTATGCCCACTTGTAATTTTACAGAGAGGAATGTATTCCCAGCTGTTATATGAACGTTTCAACTAACTACAGTCTTTTTCATTAAGTTATTCTCAAGTTTCATTCAACGATTTCTTCAAATGATGGTTTAAGAATAAGGTATATTCTTTTCATGAACGGATAATCAAGACTTTTAGTCTTTTACACTTTTTCTACGAATGAGGTACAATATTCTTAGCTCTTATTCAGAATGAATTTTTATCTTGAGATAATTGTATATTTATCATTGTCTTCATTATGCATTTATTATTATATCTGTTTATACCCGAGCGATCACTGAAACATTATTTTTTCTTTTCTTTCTGTTTTAATGTTCTGTTTTCTCTATATCTAAATTATCTGATTAGTTTATTCCAATTGGTCGATGATAGTGTTTGTCTTCAAACAAAGAACATTGATCGAGAAGGAAGAAGAAAACAAATTCGATTCATTTAAAACGGAGATGATCTAGTAATAACATGTTACCCGTCTCTTTACTTAATACAACTCAGACCATGCTAAACGTATAAACGAAAAAGTAGAATAAAACAATCTACCCTCTGATTTTTGAGTAATTTAGACGTTTGAGAAATTTTTTTTCGAATAAATTATTTGTGTAATTTACTAGTGCGGTCTATCTCTTCTTTCATATTTCTCTGAGTTAAATGAACACAACTTCAAGTTTTTTCAATCTATTCGGAACAGCATTGAGAATTAGACCTCATAATTAAATTTTATGTTGATGAGTAATATCTGACACATACCGAGACGTCAGCCATAGAATATAGCAGTTCACTGAAAAATAGAAATCTGTTCGATGCTCTGTTTTGAATAAAATAGTGTGATATGTTTCAAGTCTATTTTAATCAAGTTCTGTCTCTTAACGAGTAATTTACATTAGCGGTTGATATAAATGAAAAAGTGTACAAACAGTCCTATAGAGAGGGTACATTGAATAAAAAATATAAATATTGTACGAAGAAGAGAACAAGTCAAAAGATGAGTTGAACATTTAGAATGCTTGTGATG